TTGGGGTGCTTGAAAAAGAACATAAATGATACTGGAGAGCTTTGAGCATGTGACCAAGGTTAAATGAATGTCACTTTTACCTAATTACATGAGATCCTGATGAAATATTGCTTTTCCTTACAACTTTTCTTGGGGGAAGAAAAGATCCATCTTTTCATCCAACCAAGGATTGTGAAAAACCTAGAATTGCCAAATGCAAGTTCAGCTAGGACTATCCATTAACCATAATGCTAGCAGCTGCTGTAAATTTTGACCTGCTAACTGAGCTCGGGAAAGTAAATGAGTCATTTGTCTTGGAGCAAGACTCCTGTAGGACACAGGCCGCTACAATTCTGAGTGCACTCACAGCTATTGCAGTCTGAGGCCTCTGGGACAGATAGGCTTGCTACTAGTTCAGGAATGCCAACCGTTTTGTTATACTAAGATTTAGTGTGGAGAATGTCTGCTTCACATCATTTCACTAGTGTTTTGGGGATCACTCTTTTGTGTTCCTTTTACTTTTGAAGCCTGATTTTTTTTTTTTTTTAAACTGCATCTCACGTACTCTCAAATACTTTTTATTGTGATCCAAATATATAACAAATCATATGCCAACTCTTCAGTTTTTGCATGTATAATTCAGTGTCATTGATCGCATTCAGCATGTTGGATACCCATCACCATTGTCCCTTTCTAAATCATTCCAGCACCATTAGCAGAAACTCAGTGCCCCTAAACAATGACTCCCTTCTCCCTTCCTGCCACCCCTGGTAACAACTAAGAAGCTTTGGTCTCTACATATTTCCCTCTTTCATATAATGAGATTACACAATATTTGCCCTTTTGTAACTTATTTCATCCAATGTAACAATTTCAAACTTCGTTTTTGTTGTAGTGTGTTTAAGAACCTCATTTCTCTTTAGGGCTGAGTCCCTCCAATACTTCTTAGATAAAATTTTGAAACTTCCTTTGAAGGAATTGGGGGACTAAGTTTGAAACTGAGAGAAACAAGAGTTTAAGCTTCTTGGAAGCAATGTTCATGTCCTCTTCTAGCCTACAGTGTGACTACCCCCAAGGGATTTGACAAATTTTAAAGGTTAGTAATATTGAAGACTATTGCATATGCCATGGACTGCCAGATGAACAAACAAATCTGTTTTGGAAGAAGTACAGCCAGATGCTCCTTAAATGTGAGGATGGTGAAACTTCGTCTCACGTCCTTTGGACGTGTTATCAGGAGGGACCAGTCCCTGGAGAAGGACACCATGCTTGGGAAAGTAGAGGGTCAGTGAAAAAGAGGAAGACCTTCAAGAAGATGGATTGACATGGTGGTTACAACAATGGGCTCAAACACAGTACCGATTGTGAGACCAGTACAGGACCAGTACAGGACCAGTACAGGACCAGTAGTGTTTCTTTCTGTTGTACATAAGGTTCGCTATGAGTTGGAACCAACTTGACAGTACCTTTTATAGCACTAGGGCTCCATCCCCAATCTAGTTTTAAACTGCCAAAACCCTCTCCCTATTAGCTGACCTCAACCTTAAAGTGAGAGTTAGCTTGGAGAGTGGATAGACTTCATTGTTAAAACAAATTCTCAATCTCAGTGACAGAAGTTGTTTTGTTTTTAATCATAACCCTATGACTTTATATGTGGTTGTAAAAGAGTAGAGGTTATAGCCAGCCAGGGGACCTTTAATGGGATAATTCATCTTTACAGTTTAATATTTATATAAATATATTGAACTTAGAAACTGTTTCGCTTGAGGCATGAACATAAAATCATTTATGGCAAACGTAATGTGTAATGAACAAGGGAATAAATGCTACTAAATCTCAATGTTTACTTTAAAAATGAATAATTTCATCTGAGATTTTTTTTTTTAATTTTTTTAGGTAGATATCCTTTTTATAGTTTTAGATATAGTTGTACTCTTGTTGTTCTGTGCCGTGGAGTCGGTTCCGACCCATAGCGACCCTGTACAGGGTTTCCGAGGCTGTAAATCTTTACGGGAGCAGAACGCCTCATCTTTCTCCCGTGGGAACTGCTGGTCATTTTGAACTGCTGACCCTGAGATTAGCAGCCCGATAGTTGTACTAGATGATCTTTTTACACTGTAATTTGAAACAGCTACAAATCTATGGTGTTTTTAAAAAAAAAAAAGAATCAGTTATTTCAGGTAATAAACTTTTAACTAGTTAACTTCTCATATGAAATAATAATCCAGCTATGCCTAAATATATTGCATTTATAGATTTAAAAGTCCTCCTCCTCACTGCTCAGTAACAAATCACTTCACCTGTAGGTATTTCATCTTTCTTTCTTCTCTGTGCAATGTGGGGTTCCCTACGGATCATCTGAAGTTGTTGTGGAAAATAAAACACAGCTTACTCTGTGACATGTTTTGATCCTGAGGGACCTTGTGACTGGGTTGGGTAGAAATCTTGATAATTTAATTGTTGAATTCTGGTTGCCTGAGTGAATTTAGGCACCTGTTTTGTTTTGTTTTTTTCTTGTTGTCTGTTCATTTGTTTTATTTTGTTTTTAAGTCCTTTACACCTTTTCAGGAAAAAATATATCAAGATCATTACTTGGAAAGGTTATTTTAAAAGGTGCATTGTAGGATAAGCACTTGAGCAGAAAGCTGGTTTGACTCATAGCAACCCTGTATAGGGTTTCCGAGGAGTGGCTGGTGGGTTTGAACTGCTGACCTGGTGGTTCACAATCCAGTGCTCATCCTACAGTGACATACCAGGAGTCAGAAAGGCAGAATACTTACATAAATGTACCTATTTCAATATTAATGAAATTAATCTGTTATTAATTATAACTTTATATAAAAATATTAGGAATTTTACAAGAATACTAATTGTATGATACTGCTTTATTCATATTCTGGTTAGAGAGTTCCTGAAATTCTGTTTTCTAAACAACCATAGAGGTACAGTTCAAGGTGTGTTGTACTCAACGGTGGGAATGAATGTGGTTTTTCTCAGGAATCTTGATGATGTTGCTGATAAATTATTTGTTGTTTTGAAGATCTCCAGTGGTTAACTGAGAATAGTGCTAATGCATTTTTCCCACCTTTTCAGCTGTACGAAGGAAAAAAAGAGTTAGGCTGGTAGTTTGATAGTAAATGGAAAGTGACTGAGGTCAGCACGCTTCACTTTCCAGAGAAACAAGCTTGGCATGAGTATTTAAACCAATGGTTCTCAACCTCATCTATAAAATAGCCATCAGCATTGCAAAAACTCTCCCCAAATGATTCCACACCAAAGTTGAAAACCACTGGTACAGAAATAATGGAAAGGAAAACTGAGTTAGGAGTTAATATTAATGATGGTCCAGATCAGCATAGGCCTCAGCTAGGAAATTAACAATGAGATATTCAGAGATATAAGCAATAGGACTCACACAAGAGAGAAAAGATGCCAAAGATGCCATCTTCATAAAAGTCATGGTCATACCTTGAGAATGGACTTGTTTCCCCAAGTCATAGAGACCCTGTATCGATCAGGTTTCCTAGGAGCAGCTGGAGAGTTTGAACCACTGACCTTGGAGTCAGTTCTGACTCATAGTGACCCTGTATAGGATTTTTGAGGCTATGAATCTTTCCGGGAGCAGAAAGCTTCATCTTTCTCTCATGGAACAGTTGCAAGTTTCAAATTGCTGACCTTAAGATTAGCAGCTTGACTCATAACCACTATGCTACCAGAGCTCCTTACACTTATGAGTAGCAGATTTAAAAAAAAAAAAAAAAAGCCTGAGGAGAAATAGGAAAATCAATTGACTATGAAGTCTGGAACTCAGGCCTGAAATTTTCAAGTAGGATACATGAATATCTAAAGAGCACCAAAAAACAAATATAGTGATAGGGAATTATAAGAACACTCAAATTTTCAAATACCATATATTATTTTCTTTGAATTGTTTTCTCAATTTTGTGCTTAAACGTGAATTTGATACAGATACTTTAAACTTTAAGAAAGACAGAAAGACTTAAGAAACAGAAAACACAGGTTCTTTTCCCACCCCTTGTAGCTAGCAATCCAACCTTGGTAAGCCACTTCTCCTCTTCACTTCAAGTCCACTAAATGGTGGTTTCACTAGTTCAGTCAAGGAGGTTGACAGTGTGCGTCCGGCCTGTTCCACACTGTTGTTATTCACATTAAATAGCAAATGTGAAAATGTGTTGTAAAATACATAAAATTACACAAATAAGGGATTATTATTACAATAACCCTTCATTTTTCTGCTACTTTTCATGAGCAATTGGTATTAAGAAGCTTTGGGCAATTTGTATTCCTAGTAAAGAGGTAAAGTAATACATTAGAAGCCCTAAGCACTGCTTTCTTCCCACCCAACAGGGAAGACAGGATGTGGGGTTAAATAACTGTCCTCACCAGGGTGTCAATTCTAGGAGGGCAGCTTGTATCCCTAAGGTCTAGTCCAGTGCTTGAAACATAGTTGTTGTTGTGAAATGCCATCGAGTCAGTTCCGACCCATAGTGACCCTGATAGGGTTTCCGGCTAGTCTTTCCTAAATACTTTTAGAGGATTAATGAAATAATACAAAATTTTTAAAAATTACATAAATAGAATGCTACATCGATTTAGACAAAGAAGAAGTTCCAAATTTAGTGCAGTAAAAACCAAATAAATATATGATAAATTAATGAATTGATGCTGTGTCCCCAAGAAGCTGCTTTAGTTAACATTCAACAAAAAGGAGCTGACACCATATCAGATGAACAATTTAAAATTAGCAGCAAGTGCAAGTGATTCTTAAATCTGGAAAATTCAAAATCACTCAAGGCCAAGAGCATGGAAATCACAGGAAACTGATGGGCCAGAGACCACCTCCGAAATAGTGGTACACACAAGCTAATCACTGATTCACTTTATTGGTTATGAATGTGTTGCTCCTGTTCAGCTGTATACCTGTAACCATGCGCATTACAATGTTTTCCTTCCAACATGCTATGGGAAAGATTTCTGATCATGTCATATTCTTTCTGTAGGAATAGATAATCTCTATGAGAGGGCGGTTCACATCCGCAAACTCCTTCTGACCCTGCCCAGGTCGGTCCTTGTAGTGATGAGGTACCTCTTTGCCTTCCTCAACCAGTAAGTACTCCACTGTTCTGCCTAAACTCCCATCCTAATTACATGTACACTGCTTCTGAATTCTTTGTTCTCGAATTATGTGAAATGTACGTTTGGGTTTCATTTATCAGCAACACCGGAGAGAAGATGATTGAATATAGACTGAAGGTACATTTTTCATCATCATATCTAGGTCATTGTCTGAGGGATGAAATTATAGCCGTAAATGCAAAAATATGCAAATCTTTCTAAAAACAGTACCTTTCAATAACATAAATATTTTACAGCTTTCATCCAAAGATAATTCCATAGATGTTTTTGTCAAGATAATCTAAACCATCTTCTCACTATAGAAAATGTCTGTGATTTTTATTGTTGAAGTCAAGGGTTGAGGAGGAGAAGTCTGATTACAGATGATATTTATCACAGACTCAAAAATGAATTCTTGCAAATTTGACATAATGAAACCTTGTCACAATGAAAGTATTTAACATTTTAGAAAACAATTTAACAGAAATCTATACTGATTTTCAAAGAAACAGTACTCTTAATTTAGAGTCCTGGTGTGGTGCTGTAGGATAAGCACTGAACTGCTAACCACAAGGTTGGCAGTTCAGACCCACTAGCTGTTCCTTGGGAACCCTGTACAGGGTCACTATGAGTCTAAGCCGACTCAGTGGCACCTAACAACATACTCTTATTTGAGGCAACATGGGTTTCTGTTACACTGCTTCCTGAAATATAGACTCTGTGATAAGATCTTCTTCCCCAAGTTCCCTTGTCATTCATCATTTAGTTGAGCAGTTAGAAATGAAGAACTCTAGCGTCAGGCAAGTACGTTTGGTGGAAAGTCTTCTTGTCCTGGCATGGATTCTGCCTTCCTAAAATTGGGGTGTTTTTCCTCTCTATTTCATCAGCCCATCACCCCATCTATCAGCTTGTTGTGTTGTGTGGTAGCAACTGTGTTGACATTTCACATGTCAATAGGATCACCCATGGTGGACAGGTTTCAACAGAGCTTTTAGACAGACTAGGAAGAAAGACCTGGTTATCTGCCTCCAAAAATTAGATAATGAGAACCTTATAGATTACAACAGAGCATTGTTCAACTCGCTTGCTTTGGGCATGCCATCAGGAGGGATCAGTCACTGGAGGAGAATGTCAGAGGGACAGAAAGACAGAGGGGACCCTTGGCACTGTAGCCACAGCAATGTTGGCAATCTGAGGAAGGCACAGGACCGGGCAGTGCTTTGTTCTGTCGTACAAAAGGGTGTCATGAGTCAGAGTGAATTCAGCAGCAGCTATTTGTGTATATATCACTAGAGGTTTGGAGTTCTCAAAAGCTACAGGGAGGTGGGGGAAGGATAGTTAATGCAACCCTGCTGACTAGTTCTGAAATCATGTTGACCCCAGTAGCTGTCTCATACACTTGGGAAATGCTGGCAGAGATCCATAAGGAAGGAGACTCTCCTGCTGACAAAAATACTCACGAATGGCAGTAGGAACCCACTTGTACAGAAGTCACCACTGTAAATTAAGCAGTTTCTAGGAGTCCTGGTGTGGCACTGTAGGATCAGCACTGGACTGCAAGAGTCCACCTCACCATAGATTGCAACAAAATGGCAAAGGTGCCATGAATCCCAAGGCTGAGTTGCTTCCAGTAGTTCTACTACAAGATGCCCTGGCTCCCCATACCTGCCTTCATCCAGCGATTAGGACCCAGCCCCAAGGGTAGGATGCTTGGGACAGAAGTTTTTGAAAAGAGAGAGTAGGCTATTCTTTTCAAATTATAAAATTGAAGCATAGAAATAACATTTTTTAAAATATATGTTTGTGCTTTAGATTCCAGCCGTAAATTAAGAGCCAGAAAGGTTAATTGGGACATCCCTTGAATATAGAATGTCTTTTGAAACTTAGGTCCCTCTTACTTTGAAAATTAAGCTCATTTCTCTTTCCTGCATCTATTTTCAAGATAATTATTTGCTGTTACTGTGAACAATTTTTAAGATGGCATTTTTGAGAAATGGCAGAAGGGAAAGGTATACGTTAACTGTGAAAATTGTGCTTTTGTATTTCCTACTTTCAAGACTATCTTATTTCCAAAAAAGGATAAAGTATCACGCCACATGATATCTCAATTTCTTTGTTTCTGTCACCATCTGACAAAATAGCTGAGACTCTCTTTTTTCTCCTTCTGTTCGTCACCTGTCCACCTAGATTTTACATTTCCCTTTCAAGATTGACATTCTATACACTGAACCGTGGCATCTCTAAAGTCTCGTTAGAACAGCCTCTAATGTGTGTGTTAGAGGCACAGCAGTAAAGAGCTGACTTACTTTGAGTCACTTGTGAAAAGTAACTCACAAATATTCATTGGATTGCCTTTAGGAATTAGTACTAGACAACTGGAAATCTCCCCCGATGTTTTACTTTTCCAGCCTTAAACGGAATGAGAGAATTAAGGAGCCCTTTTCCTTGTCTTACATTTATGGTATATTTTGTGACACTAGCTGTTGTATAGTCTTAGCCAAAAGCAGATTAGAAAGCCTGGAGTTATTAATTGCTTCCTTATAGTGGTTACATAGAAAAGGTGCTTCGTTTTCTTACAGGCATTCTTTAAGATTTATAGAAAACTTAAGTCTGAAATATTTTTGGCAGGGACAACAAAAAAGACAACTGTAAAGCTTTATAGAGATTGTTCCTGTCCCTCCCCAGTGTGTTTAAGCAGCATTTAGAGATTAATGTTTATACATGAACCACATTTATTTGATCATGACCCCCATTGTAGTAGGTATTATTTTAAACTCCCTGTGGCTTTGAAAAATAGGACTTACATTCCACTTTCATGTCCTATATAGCTGAAAGACCGTAAGTTGTTTTACTCTTTTTTTTTTTGAGACTTCACTAAGTCAATTAAAAGTAAGGTAGGATGTTATTTTGTTCTCATAATACAAATTAAATAAGTTATTTTAGATCCCTGTTTTCTGAATAGGAAGTCTCTTATTAGATATCTGTTCTCTTTTGTCCCCCTTGCTGTTATTATGTGCCTTCTTTCTTCCTTTCCTAGCCTTTCACAGTACAGTGACGAGAACATGATGGATCCTTACAACCTGGCCATCTGCTTTGGCCCAACATTGATGCCTGTCCCAGAAATACAGGATCAAGTGTCTTGCCAAGCTCATGTGAATGAAATTGTCAAAACCATCATCATTCACCATGAGATTATTTTCCCAGATGCTAAAGAGCTGGATGGTCCAATTTATGAAAAATGCATGGCTGGAGACGATTACTGGTAAGTCCAAGGATTTTAGTCCCTCCTCTAAAAAGACAGAAGTACAGATATCAACCTAACTAGTGAGAAAGAACTGACCATAAGCCACCAAACTCTCCTAATTAAAAATAATAATAATAATAAAGAGATAAGTTACAATACTAAGACCCATGACAAGACTGGTTTCTTATTATGGAAATTCATGTACAAACCCTTCCCCTTCTCCTGTATCATGGTTTCCAGGTGGTGGAAACAGTTACTGTGCTCCATAAATGTAATCCATAGGATTTCCAGTGACTGTGTTTTTATAAGGCGATCACCAGACCTGCCTTTCAAAGCTCCTCTGGGTAGACTGAACCCTCCAACTTTCTAGTTAGCCTCCAAGCATGTTAACTATTTGTACTACCAGGGACTCTTCTGGGAAAAAACAGATGAATAAAACCCAGCCCTGCTGAGACACATAATCTTATTTTCATGATTATATTTGTTCTAAGGCTCATGCCAAAGGCCTATTTAAATCGGATGCCATCAAGTCAGTTCCTAGTCATGGCGCCACCGTGTGTGCCAAAGCAGAACTGTGCGCTCTGATTTCCCGAAAGTAGATCACCAGGCCCTTTCTTCTGATGTACTTCTGGGTGGCTTCATATTTCCAACCTTTGCATTATCCATTTGCAGCACTTTCAAGTATCCTGTCTAAATCAGGAAATTCGGTTGTCTTGTCAGAGAGCAAATATGTAGACATGCGATCAATATTTGATTCATTATATGGTAGGGCCTCTTGTGGCTACTGGGTTTTACAGGTGAAACCCCATAATAAAGAGTGTTGTAGCCAATGACACACATGCCCTATGTTAGGTCCTTCTTCCTGTACACAGCTCTGCCTATGGGCATTGCTCATTTAATATAAAAAGTCAATAATACAGTAGTCATCTTTGCCCTTCCCTAGAAACAGCAGTATGAATTCGCTTTTACAGTAATGTCAGGTTTGTATTGGCAACCCATGTATTCCATTTATCAGTATACATTTAAAGAGAGATGATGTTAGTGTTAAAGGACAAATTTTTCAAAGAAAATCAAATTATGTTTCTCATACAGGTATAAATGATGTGCATCAACATTTTTATTTGTTTCACAATTAATGAAAGAACCAGAAAAAAAAATGCTGCAGACAATTCAAAGTAGTAGTCAAAGAGCCACCAGTTTATATGCAGTAAAAGAATGTGGAGATGAATTTGCACAAATTGGTCTATTCAAAGGGCAGTGATTAATCGTATTACACCAGGATCCAACGAATTTACATTTCTATAGATAAAAATTATTTGCATTGCTATTAGTTTCCTATAAGTTAGGGTCTGTCTTTACAGAGTTGTAAAATAACGTAGTCAAAGCTAAAGGTATACACACTCCTATGTTGTTGTTGTGCCATTTAGTCAGTTACAACTCATAACTGCCCTGTAGAGGGTTTCTGAGGAGTGGCTGGTGGGTTAACAATCCAGTGCTTATCCTATAGCACTACACCAAGACAATAGGACCAGATATTCCTCTGGAGTCTCTAACATTCCATTCCATTAAAAGGATCTCCAGTAACTCTTTGCCCATTCCAAAGTCTTTAAGCTTCCCTTTACAGTAGCAATTTTTCTTTTCTTTTTTTTTAATTCCATCACATGACTGTCATATGAATATGGTGTCATATGAATTTCCATTACTGCTCCACAGTGACAGCCCATACAGTGAGCACGGTACTTTGGAGGAAGTGGATCAGGATGCTGGTACAGAGCCCCACACCAGTGAAGATGGTATGCCTGTGCTTATTCTCTGTGTCCTTTTAAAAAATCGCTTATTATTAAATATTCAGTAGATGCAATAGAACGTTTATAAATTATGTGGAAGATATAAAGAACACTGTTACAAGGAACACCCACAGGACCACTAGCAAGTGACTTTCTCTTCTAGAGTAATCACTATGTGTTTGTGTCTTTAAACAATTTATTATTTCATATTCCATTTTCTTGAACTTTCTATAAATGGAGTCATAAAGTTTTCGTGATTTTTTTTTCTACTGAATATTATGTTCCTGAAATTCATATATAATTGAATCCAGATATAATCATTTATTTTACAGTGTATACTATTCTGTTGTATTTATCTATCCCATTGTTGATGAATTAAGGACAGTGTCACAATAAGTATTTTGTAAACATGTTACATCTGCAACTGTGCAGGGATTTCTCCAGTGTGTATACCCTACCAAGTCTTTTTGCTCATTTTACTATTAGGTTCTTCTGGCTCTTTTGTGTTTGTTTTGTTTGAGTCTTTTTATTTGGTTTCAAGAGCTCTTCGTGGATTCTGGGTCAGGTTCATTGATGGGCATGTACTTTGCAAATGTCTTCTCCCACTCTAGCTTGTCTTTTCATTCTATTTACTGTATCTTTTTTGTTAGACATGGGATCAGTTTTTAGGCTCCTGAATTCATCAGTCTTTTCCTTATAATTATTTCACTTTGTGCCTTTAAAAATACCTTCCGCACCATGAGGTAATGAAGATAATTCTCCCATATTTTCTTGAAGGTTTTGTTTCTCACATAGGTTTTTTTCCACCAGGACTTTACTTTGGGGTATGGTGTGAGGAAGGGGTCAGTCCCTGTCATTTTTTTTTTAGTATGAATATACAATGTCCCCAGCACCAGTCATCCTTTCCCCTCTGTTCCTCACCTCTGTTATAAATTAGGTACCATCTACGTGCATGTCTTTTTGGACGATCCACTGTTTCCCAGTGATCCATACATCTGTTCATAGGTCACTTATTTAGATGTTGTTGTTAAATGTTGTTGAGTCGGTTCTGATTTACAGTGACTCTGTATATGGTTCCCAAGGAGTGGCTAAAGAATTTGAACCACCAACTGTGTGGTTCAAACTCACCTTGCAGTTGAGTGCTTATCCTACAGCACCACACCAGGACTGATAAGTCTTGATATTTGACAAAACATGACCTCCCATTTTGTTCTCTTGGCATTTCTTATCCCTTGGCAATGCCATTTAAATTTTAGACCACTCAGTTTTTCAAGCTCTAGAAACAAACAGCTCTAAAAACCCATTTGGGTTTTTGTTATACTGATTCTGTGCATTTTCATACAGAGAGAATTGATATTATACTACTGACTCTTCTAATCCAAGAACATATTATATTGCCATTTATTCTATTTTACTGATAAACATATATGCTTTCATCGTAGAGATTTTTAGAACCTATCCATTTTCTTCTATTAGTTCACAAATTGGATCCACAAATTCTTTTCATATCTTTCCAGTACTGACAAATCTATTTGAAACCCATCCACTGAATTTTTATTTGTAATTATGATTATTACAGGTTTCTCCTGCCATCTAAAGGTAGAGCCTTCCTATGAAAACTTTCATAAGTTGAAGTGGTATAAAGTAATGTAATTACCATTAATTTACATGGGAATTTATTTTTTTTCAGCAAATAATACCAAACACATAAAGCCTAAAGTAACGCTGACATCGAGTAAAAGCAGGAATGGTAATATGATCCACAGCCTATATAAAGTAGAAATCATGGGGAAGGAGCTTAGTGACTTTTCACTTTTCTCCATTTTCATAGAAGCAACTACCATTTTTGGATTTATTTTGATTCATGAAAACAAGTACAGATGTAAGTCTTTTGTAAAAGCAAAGTGGTATGAGGTGATCTTTCAAAAAGCAGAAGATAGTGGTATTTTATTTCTAAGATTCTGTTCGTTTTCATATCTGCTGCTTGGGTTTTTGTTTTTTATAATTTCTTGCTCTTGACATCCATAATATCAATCCTTGAAATTTTGTCAGATTTCTGATGTTACGTGCTGTCGAGCCAGTTCCAACTCATAGAAACCCTGTATTACGGTTTCCAAGTAGCAGCTAGTGAGTTTGAACCACCAACCTTGCAGTTCAAACCACCCTTGAGGGCGAGCGTTTCTCCTATGGTGCCATATTTCTAATAATTCTAGTGTCTGAAGTCTTCTCTGATTTGTTTCTCTTTGGTCTCTCATTCAGTGAGTCTTATTTTCTAATGTGTTTTGTTTGCCCATTTTCATGTGTGTGTTTCCTGTGATTTTGTCTGGGGAAATTCCTCTGACCTTAGTTGAAGGTTAGTTACTCTAGAAAGGTTTTTCATGTCCTTATGCTGTGGGTGCAGCCAGTCTGGGACCACATTACACATTTAGCTTAAGGTTTTCTTGTTGGTGCTGTTTTAGTGTGCCGTCGAGTTGGTTCCGACTCTTAGCAACCCTGTATAGGGTTTCTGAGGAAAAGCTGGTGGACTTGAACCACCAACGTTGCAATTCAAACCAACCTTGCAGTTCAGCATATTAACCTGCAGCGCCACACCAAAAAAATAATAAAAATAATAAACCAAAATAAACAAACCTACTGCCATCTGCTCAGTTCCAACTCTATATAGGGCTTCCGAGGCTGTAAATGTAAATTCTCATGGGAGCAGACAGCCTCCTTTTTCTTTGGTAGTGGTTTGAACTGTCTCCTAGGTAATATAAATTTAAGTTTCAAGTCTGCGTGAGCACTAATATGCAGTTGGGATTCTCAGAAATCATTTTTTTCCAAAGTTTGAGATAGAAGTTTATTATTATCTCAGGGCTAGAGCAAAGAAGATTTCTGTCTAGTCCATTCTGACCCAGAGAGTGGGATTTTTGACGAGGCCTCCTGTAAGAAATTGAAGTTAGCCAGTTGGAAAAATTCTCTCAGAGCAAAGCGTTCTAGTGTTTTGTTTACCTCTCTTAGTGTTCCCACTTCCATTGAGCCTTTTTTTTTTTTTTTTTTTTTTTTTTGTCTTGAAGTATTCTTCACTGCCTTAATAGCCCATTGATGTAATTTTTTTTCTTTTCTAATTCAGCTATTTTAGTTGATTTCAGGAAGAGGATAATCAGATTGTCAAGTGTCCACCATCCTCTACTTTAAAAAAAAAAAAACACAAAAAACTTCTTGTGCCTTTTATAAAAGTAATATAAATGGACATTTTCAAGCTTAAGTGAGAAGACAGTCTTTAACGTAAGAACTTCTGTTTCTGTGATACTGCTTTTGAACATCTTTGAGCCCTGTCTCTGCCAGCATCCTTTCTTTTGTCTTGGGTTTCTCTGTCTCACTTTTCACTACTGTCTTGTTTAAGTGTTTCCTTGCTTTCCCTAGTAGCAAGAAAAGCCAAGATGAGTGCTCCAGTCATCTGTCTCCCCCAACACCCCAACATCAGTCTCAGTACTGTGCCATCTGTTAATTGTTCTTACCTCCTGACTACAAGAGAGCAGACTTGCTTAGAGTTGAGTTTGGGTTTTAGATAACATTGTGATCATATGTGTCTGACTTTTACTGGAAAGAAAAGCATGGCTTACAAAGAACAGATGATCTCTCCCATAGATATCTTCCAGAATTCTGTAGCTAAATTAACTAGAGCATTGATTAGCCCTTTGATCACCCAAGTGTTCTGTTTTCTCTGCCATGGTATCTCTACAGAGAGCAGCTTTTGTTTCCAAAGGGCTGGCTGTCACAGTGCAAAACCATCTTGTGTAACGTAACAGAGCTAGAAAGGAATGTGTCAGGGACAGCAAGGTCCCAAAGAGAAAGCTGATGTGCTAATGTTTTGTGTAAAATTACAAGTAATGGAAATAAAAGACTTGACAGCACCAAGCAGTCAGGAAACTGGCTCTGCTGAATTTTTCTTCCCCTTTGCATGAAATTGTAATAGCCTCTCAGGAAAATGAACTGATTCTACTACACTCTTGTTATTGTATTGGTACTGATATCACTAGCAGCATTCTACCCAGGTTATGCAAGACCTTTAAGGATTGTGTGGTTCTCTAGCTGAGACAGAAGGGTGTGGTGTGTGACCACTCCCTGAGATTCATGTGTTCTGCAGTGACTAGACTAGGCTGTGTGTAAATAGCTTATTGACTGACTTGACTGTGAAATGGCTTTCACAGGAGTAGAAAAAGTCAAAATAATGAAATTGCTGAGAATCACTGGTTGATATAATAGGATTGCCAACCGAATGTATTTCTGATTCATCTTGTCAGTCTTTTATGACCTCGCCACATTTGACTGAAATTAGCAGTATCCTAATCCTGTTACTAGTTGTTTCTGAAAAATACAAAGAGGACATGACCATCATCAAAATCATATTCATGAAATTATGATTTTATACATATAGCTAGTTTGATAGTAATGTGGTAAGTAATCTTAAATAGTCCTGGCCAACAATGACAGTGTATAATTGAATGGCAATAAAGATCATTGATGGTTTTTTATTTCCTTTTTATGCAGATGTTATAAATATATTATGTCATATGCTGGAATCATTTCAATTTTCCTAGTTAAACCCAATATAAATATATGAACATGTTCTACAAATCATACAGTCAACATGCTGTTTGAATCTACCAGCCATCCTGCAAAAAATTAGGCTTTCTGCTCCAGCAGAGTTGTACAGTCTTGAAAACAGTGAATAGGGTCGCTATGAGTCAGAATCGATTTGACAGCACTTTAAAACTACAACAAATACACACACACACAGAAGCTTACAAATTACATGTCACTAAGTGTGTGGTGCTGTGGGTTAATGCAGTGGACTGCAAGGTCGGTTTGAACTTCAAGTTCCCGCTCACCAGCTGCTCCTCAGAAGCTGTATACAGGGTTGCTATGAGTTGGAACCAACTTGACGGTACAGCACTTAACAACAACGGAATTTGTTGTTGTTATTGTTGTTGTTATGTGCCGTGGAGTTGGTTCCGACTCATAGTGACCCTGCATAAGGTTTCTGAGGCTGTAAATCTTTACAGGAGCAGAAAGCCTCATCTTTCTCCCATGGAACAGCTGGTAGTTTCAAACTGCTGACCTTGCGGTTCGCAGCCTGATTCATAACCACTACGCTACCAGAGAACAGTATATCCTTTAAAAAAAAAAAAAAAAAAAAAGTGGTATTTTTCTTTGTGTTTATTTAGAATGTTATGCTTACGTAAAATTCCCCTAGGCTCTTCAAAGGTAAAACCTAAGGTTTTCAATTTGTTTGTTTTTATGCTTTTTCCTTATATGTTTTTATGCTTTTTGCCTACAAGCAGATTTTGGGGGTGGAATTTTTGAGATTGGAAGGTCTGTTATCAAAGAAGTCCTGGTGTGGCACTGTAAGTTAATGTGCTGAACTGTAAGGTTGGTTTGAACCTCAAGGTCAGCGGTTCAAGCTCACTAGCTGGCCCTCAGAAAGTCTCTACAGGGTCGCAATGAGTCAGAACTGACTCAACAGCGCTTAAGAACAATAACTGTCAAGGGAAAAGTAGGCAAGTTGTTTTTATTTCAGTTTTAATCTATTATGTGTATACATACTTTAGAATATTTGTAAACGAATACAAGCTTAGTTTTTGGAAAATGAGGAAATGCTGTTGCAGAATTGTACTCCTATAAGTGTGGCGCTGTGGGTTAATGCGCCAGACTGCAAAGCCGTTTGAACTGCAAGGTCGGCAGTTCAAGCTCACCAGCTGCTCCTCAGGGTCGCTCGACGGTACTTCACAACAACAACAAGCATTTGCCATGTGTCTTGGCCCTGTTCAGTTCTGTTCATTATTGATTATTAATTTAATCCCCTATGGAGTCCTGGTGTAGTACTATAGGATAAGCACTGGACTGCTCACCCCAAGGTTGGCAGTTCAAACCAACCAACCACTCCTCAGAAACCCTATACAGAGTTGCTGTGAGTCAGAACTGACTTGATGGCACTCAACAACAACAACAACATGGTGATGTAGGAGTTCTGGTGTGTCTCTGTAACACTGGATTGCTACCACACAAGATTGGTGGTTCAAACCCACCAGCCACTCCTTGGAAACCCTGTGTAGTGTCGCTTTGAATTGGAACCAACTCAGTGGCACTTAACAACAACAAATGTTGAAGTAACTGTAGGTAAGCATTGAACTGTTAACCCTAAGGTCAGCAGTTTGAATCCACCAGCTGCTCTGATTCACCAGCACTTAACACCAACAACATGTCGCTGTAACTGATGGCAGTGATGGGAATGGCTGGTGCACTGGCAGAGAGGAGGAAAGACCATAAGGCTTCAAAGAGGGTATCTTGAACATGCTAAATCACAAAAACATCTCATTATAATTTATCATTGTTTCATTGAGTTTGTCCCTTTATTTCTCTTCAGTATTTGTGGTCAGAATTGAACAAAAGGAAAACTCCTACATTAGGCTCAGAATTCTGTGTCTTTTTTTTTTTTTTTTATAACAAAAGACGGCATAAGAGAAATTGCTGTGACTGCCGTTGATAAGAGTGTTCTTTATTGGTCCAGTGGTTTTTTTTTTTTTTTTTTTTTTGAGGTAATTATAGATTCACATGCAGTTGTAAGAAATATAATGGCAAGATTCCATGCACCTTTTACCCAATATTCCTCAATAGTAACATCTTGCATAGTTGCAGTACCATGTCACAACCAAGATATTGCCACTGATACATTCCATGAAGCATATTCCAGTTTCGCCAGTTTCTGTGCACTTGTGTATTTAGTTTTCTGTCATTTGATCATGTGTGGCCACCATCACAATCAGAAAATAGAGACGTTTCACCATTAGGATCCCTTGACTGCCCTTCCACAGCCACATCCACTCACCCCATGTTCTCCATTTCTGTAATTATGTCATTTCAAGAATGTGATATAAACGAGATCTCGTGGTATGTAACCTTTGGATATTGGAGATTTTCACAGAGTGAAAATCCCTTGAGTATCCTTTGATCTCCAGAAAGTAGATTTTTTTTTTAATCCAGTCTTTTGGTTAACATTAAGGGCCACCTGATGCTAATTTCATAGTGCAGATTTGAATATGTTTATGATTCCAAAGAAGACAAGGTTGTCATTACTATTAGTGGAAGTTTAAGGATTTGAATGACAATTCTAGAAAAGTACATGATAAAATTAAATGTATATGAATGGCTTTTAACATGGTGATTTTGTAACCCTGATTTTCTTTAAAATAAGCTAATAAACCATAAACTTTATATGTGTCCGGAGAGACATGTTATAGATGGTATTAACATGTTGCAAGGAAAATGCTATCAATGTCAAAATAACTTTGGAGCAATTGTGGAAGTTACTATAGTCCAAGAAAAGATTTTATGTATCGCATTACAAAGTTTAAGATGTTTATTTCTAGATCTAGAAAGATGTTGTAGAAATTTAAATCTAATGTCCATGTTTTGTTTTGGGTCTGAGAAATCGGTAACAGTATATGAGTATTTTTCTGTATCTCTTTAAAGCCTCTATTTTTTCATGCCCTCATTAATTGCTTATCACCCTGTTCAGTCTGGGTATTAAACAGCTTTGCTTATTTCTAAGACTTCATATAAACCTTTCTGATGGTGTATGATGCCTTTACCAACTCTGTCCCTCACTGTTTTCTGGTCTGTTTTCTATAGAATGTGAACCAATAGAAGCCATAGCCAAGTTTGACTATGTTGGGCGGTCTGCCAGAGAACTGTCTTTCAAGAAGGGCGCCTCCCTGCTGCTGTATCACCGTGCATCTGAGGACTGGTGGGAAGGCAGACACAACGGGATTGATGGGCTTGTACCTCACCAGTACATAGTGGTACAGGATATGTGAGTAGTCCCAGCTTCAACTACCTGAGGTTTTGCAAAGGAGGATTCTGAAGACCTTGTTCCTAGGCTGAACATGGTCTTATGAGAAAAGTGCAGAAAAGATTACAGAGATAAACTTCTGAACTGAGTATAGTTCATCACCTTGCTAATGGGTATTTGCTTCAGGACCAGAAAGTTTTTGTTTCCCAGAGTCTTGCCAAAGGGTTTAGAGCAAAAACGATTGGGAAACTTCTTCTGAACCTTTCAAGTTCTAAGAAAAATATCTTATGCAGAGAATAGCTTTACAAGCTGAAATGATACTAATTCCAAAAACAGTAGGGCTTTTCTCTTGGCATCCATCTGCTGTTTTAACTGCAGATTCCCAAGAGGGAGGACAGTGTCCTGAGTCGACAGAAAAGCATCACCAGACTTTCATTTATTTATTTATCTTCTGTCTGATGAAAAATCCTGAAAATTATTTAAAGACAAAGGAAAATGGTCATAAAATATTAGTGCAAAAACAGATTGTAAGATATTATGGAAAGTATAAGGAGCTCTGGTAGCGTAGTGGTTACGAATCGGGCTGTGAACTGTAAGGTCAGCAGTTCGAAACTACCAGC